CGTGGAAATGTCTTCGGTACTCGGCCTGTGTTTCTTTCAACCAACTGGCGCGTCGCAACTGCCTGGAACCCAAATATGAAATTGACAGTCGAGGGCCTCTTGCAAAAAGCCAGGCCCGCCTTCACTTAAGGCGGGCACCTCCGCCTTCACTTAGGGCGGGTAAGGCTGCAGACAGGGCCCAGTAGGCCTACCGAGGACACTGATCCTCGCAATTGCAAATATTGTTTTGATTGATTATCATTACTGCAAGTATTGTTGTATTGATTACCATTAAGAATTATTCTTTCGTTACGAATTTTTGGAATTGTTTRCGGGAAGTTATTCTTTCTGTTTTGATTAGGTGTCTACAGTCCATCAGTGGGACAGGGGACTGTATGCGTATTGTTTGATTGTTCTACCCCTGTTCCCACTCTCCCTACCCTCCCCGTACTCTGTGACCACCGGGACCTCTCAAGTACCGCATCAATTCACACTGATGTCGATGGAACAAGACACCGGGGCACTGCCACGACGCAGTGCCAGGCTTGCAGTTCGTGCCCGACCTGTGGTACCTCCAAGACCCAAGCAGCGACTCAGCAAGCGGAAGACTCCAGCAGCATCAAGTACAGCAATGACAGTACCAGTTACCACCGGAGTCCTTCCTGCATGCCCGGTCCAAGGGGCCGGTGAGCTGTTGGCAGCTTACCCTCAGCGGGTACAGACATTCAGTGATGCCGTAGCTACCGCAAAGGCACAGGAGGAGGCAGCAGAGGTGGAACGTCAGCGGCTGGCCAGTGAGGCGGCAGCCCAAGCTCAGCAGACTGCTGAGGCTGACGCCGTGGTGCGAGATAAGCGGAACACCATTTGCATGGAGTCCTTGACTATGAATGAGAGTCAGTGGACGACAATGCTCCAAGGCATGTTGTTTGTGCCTTCGGATACACAGGCGGATCCGACACCGGCGGAGGAAGAAAGGAGCAACCTGGCTAACCTGATGATGAACATGATGCGCGCGATCATGTGGAACAATATGATGTTAATGGTGCAAATCCACGAGGGCAGACAACTGCGACAGATTCAGCAGAATGATTCTGCAGCCTTAACAGCTGTCGTTCGCGCTTCTGCCACACATCAGCAACAACAGCAACAGTTGTTGACCACCACCACCGCACGCGTCAACACCATCGAGGCTAAGGCCTTAGCAGCGCCAGGCTGCACGACAGACGAGACGAAGCAGATCAATGGGCACATCGATCATGTCGTCAAACTCATCGGCAACATAGGTGTTTTCAATGGGCCGGACACGATCAGTAGCACGGTGGCCGCTATCAAGACGGACATCACCAAGCTGCAGACGCGACCGGACGCCGCTACGAAGACGTACAAGATGCCGCACTTCGACATCAGCAAGTTCAACGACTACAACAAATCGGACGCCTTGACATGGTCGCAACGTTTCCTCACGGAAGCCTCATGCCGCACGGTCCCAGTGGACGACATGCTGAAGGCGCTCTATTTGCAACTTATTGGCGGAGCGCAGGCATGGATGAACCATCTGGCGGCTACCAACAAATGCACCATCGCCGAACTCCACACGCACATCACGTGGAAAGAATTCAAGAAGCTATGGTTCACCCGGTTCATGGTCCGCAACGTCGTGAAGGCGGCCATGAACGAGGTGTACACCTGCTCTAAAGGGAATATGCCAACTCGAGACTGGACAACCAAGTGGCAGAAGATAGTGACCACGCCAGGGTTCGATTTGAGCTTTACCAATCAACGATCCGAGTTCTTCTTGCGATCATGCGCAGGACTGCGAACCGCACTCGGCAACGAGTACGATTACGCCTCATTCCAGACTATCCTGGATCGTGCGAACTTGGTCATTCAAACGGATGACAAGGCTGCTAACGAACGGCAGTCCCAGCCGCACTATGTGGCTAAACCGGCCTATCAACGACCAGCACATAACAATGCTGTGATTTCAGAAGAAACAGTCGATCTCCACGCTGCAGCAGCATCCTCGAGTGATGGAGGAATTGTAGCAGCGCTCCCGCCGAAGCGTCCCAAGAGAGTTCGGAAGAACAAGGCAACACAAGAGGCGGCATTGATGGGAACTGGGCAGCAACCATGGACGGCTTACAAGATAACCAAGGATGTCTATGACCTTCTTCAAAAGTACAACTACTGCCTTTGGTGCAATGGGGTCACTCATGTGACCGCCAACTGCCCCGAAAAGGGCAAGCCACGCGTACCCCATCCAGGAAACTCGGGAAACTGAGTTACGCAAGGAGAGGGGCGACGCCTCTCCTCACTCCGCCGGACCCGGTTGCCTTGCTAGCAATCGATGTCACTACCGGGGAGCATGCGTTAGTCGCTGATTCTCGTGCTACGTACGAGGATTATGCCGCCCAGCTGGTACCACCACTAGACCAGCCAAGCCACGTGCACTTAGATTGCGTATGTGCAGCCTGTACACCGTCGGCAAGTGATCCGGTTAGTTCGCCACTGATTTCCAAGGACTCGACTGCGTGGTCAAGAGTTGAGGAGCTTGACCCGCTCACGAGAGAGGACTTCGCTTGGATGCCTCTTCCCTCGACTGAAATTTGGCCAAGACCGCATTGCAACGCCTTAATGGCAAATCTACGCTCCTATTTGCACACTACAGTACCAGCTCCGTTGACGGACGACGGAGTAGCGGTTGCTGATCTCTGCTCCTATCTTGCGAAGATTGACCGCGAGTACGCCACCCAAAGGTACGTCGAAACCGACGCGCCTTTGCTCTATTTCCGCATTCAAATCGGAAAGGGAACCTTTAGTGCCTTGATTGATTGCGGAGCGTCTCGCAACTTTATGAGCCAAGCCTTTATGGCCCGCACAGGCCTTGGCCCGCGCGTTCGAAGGAAGACGCAACCCACGCAAGTTACACTCGCGGACGGCCGCACGCAAAAGTCAATTGACCGATGCATCGACGGCGTTCCGGTATACTTTGCGCCACTTGCGTGCGAGCCGGTGTCTTTTGACATCCTCGACACCAAGTTCGACATGATTCTAGGCATGTCTTGGTTGCGTAGCGCCGATCATCCGGTGAACTTTCATGACCGAACCGTTCACATCCATGATCGGAACGGAGTGTTAGTCYCATGTACGGTCGCGACCCCTCACACTTCGATTGCTTGTCACGTGGTCTCCATTGCGAGAATTCGCGACGCCATAGCTCGGAACGACGTCGAGGAGATGGGCCTTGTATTCTTGCATGCCCTCCCCTCGCCGGATGGACCAGCCGCGTCATCGCCGGACCCACGCATTTCTCACCTCTTGGACGAGTATAGAGACGTCTTCGAGACTCCCACCGGAACGGTTCCGGATCGGCCCATACGTCACGGGATCACTCTCGAGGCTGACGCCGTCCCTCCGCGTGGATGTATCTACCGCATGAGCGAAGAGGAACTCGAGGTGCTTCGCGCACANCTTCGCGCACAACTCGATGACCTTCTCGACAAGGGCTGGATTCGCCCTAGTTGTTCGCCCTACGGTGCCCCTGTTCTCTTCGTCCGGAAGAAGAATTAAGATCTACGGTTATGCATCGATTATCGCAAACTTAACGCACAAACCGTAAAGAACGCCGGCCCTCTCCCTCGGATTGATGATCTTCTTGAGTGGTTAGGCGGCGCGACGTACTTCTCGAAGTTGGACTTGAAGTCAGGTTACCACCTGATTGAAATTCAGCCTCAAGATTGATAGAAGACCGCGTTCAAGACGCGGTACGGGCATTTTGAGTGGGTTGTCATKCCATTTGGCCTCACCAATGCCCCCGCGACTTTCCAAGCAGCGATGACGACTGAGTTTGGCGACTTGCTCGATCGCAGCGTCCTCATCKATCTCGATGACATCTTGGTTTATAGTCGGACGTTGGACGAGCACATCGTACACCTTTGCGTTGTTTTGGATCGTTTGCGACTAGCCAAGTTCAAAGGGAATCTCGACAAGTGCGAGTTCGCCAAGCAGGAGTTTGAGTACTTGGGTCGTTTTGTCACGCCGAAAGGCATTCGTCCTTTAGCGGACAAGATCCAAGCCATTGTGGATTGGCCGAAACCCCGTTGTACGACGGATGTACGCTCTTTCATGGGTTTGGCTGGATATTATCAGCGATTCGTCGAGTCATACTCGAAAGTGGCCGCTCATTTATCGAGACTTCAGTCCCCGAAGGTGCCCTTCGAGTTCGACGACGCAGCCCGTGGCGCGTTCACTACGTTGAAGGCAGCAATGCAAGCTGCACCTGCCCTCCGTATATATGACCCCACCCTTCCCACCCAAGTGACTACGGACGCTTCGGGATACGGCATTGGTGCGGTGTTGGAACAGTGTCACGAGGACGGTTGGCATCCGGTCGAGTATTTCTCCCAAAAGGTGCCTCTCGTCAACACTCTCGACGACGCTAGGAAGAAAGAGCTACTCGCGTTCGTCACCATCCTCAAACGGTGGCGCCACTTTCTTTTAGGCCGTCGGCGTTTTAAATGGAATACGGACAACAATCCGTTGACCTTTTACAAAACGCAGGACACGGTCACTAGCACGATCGGTCGATGGATGTATTAGATCGACCAGTTCGATTTTGACCCGTGCCACATTCCCGGTCTCGCCAATCGAGCTACGGACGCCCTCTCACGACGGCCCAACTTTTGTGTCATTGTGACCACGGCATTCGACCTCGATGACGATCTGCAGTCGCATTTCGTCAAAGGCTACAAGTCCGATCCGACGTACTGAACGCTTTATGCAGAGCTTTYATCGGATCACCCGCTGGCTAGCCACTATCGGATTTCCGACGGGTTCCTTCTCCTTCACACGAGAGGAAATGACTTGTTAGTTGTGCCCCAAGATCGCATCTTACGGACTCGTCTTCTCGGCGAATTCCACGACGCACGACTTTCGGCACACCTTGGCGTGAACCGCACATTAGCACGCCTCCGCCAACGTTTTTACTTGCCTGACGTCTTTCATGACGTCACGAGGTACGTTGAGTCATGTGTAGTTTGCCACCGTAACAAGGGTCGATCTCGAGTCCCCTTCGGCGAACTGAAACCGTTGCCGATTCCTCGGGCACCGCGCCTCTCCATTGCTATGGACGTGACAGGCCCGTTCCCCCGCGATCGTCAAGGCCATGACGGTATTCTCACGGTCGTTGACCGTTTGAGCAAGTACGCTCGCTTTCTTCCTTGCAAGTATCATGCTGCAGCGCCGGAGCTCGCACGACTCTTGGACACCGGTTGGATTACCAACCAGGGTGTTCCGGAAGACATAGTGAGCGACCGAGATACTCGCTTCATGTCAGCATTTTGGACTTCCCTCATGGCTGAGTCCGGCACGACAATGAAGTCGAGCTCGGCTCGGCACCCGCAGACGGATGGCCACACGGAGCGAGCGCACCAGACCGCTCAGATGATGTTGCGTACGCTCATCCGTCCCGACCAGAAAGATTGGGTTGACCGGCTTCCCGACATCGAGTTCGCCTATAACACTTCGGTGCACCAGGCGATCTGCGTCACACCATTCGAGTTACATCATGGTGGAGAGAAAGCACGGATCTTCGCTGATCTCCTTTTGCTACAGGCTGTCGACATAAACGTCCCTTGCTCTCCCGCTTCCATTCGGAAGTACCAGGACTTGCTGATCAAAGCCCGCGCAAATATGCAAAAGGCTAAGATCCGCATGCAGCAGCACGCTAACCGACGTCGACTTCCATGTCCTTTCBGCGAGGGAGACCTTGTTTGGGTCCTCTCCGAGCAATTTGCGCTCGAGCAGGACATTTCGAGCAAACTCCTTCCGAAATGGTTCGGACCATGGGAAGTCACTTCTTTCGTTGGAGACGACCCCGCAGGTCCTTCCTTTGTGATCAACATTCCACCGCACCTTACAGTGCATCCGGTCTTCCAAGCGTCGAAGCTGGCCATCTACACGCCACCTTCCGCTTCCCGGACGTCGATCACAGGATCCGCCTTCTATGGATGGACATCAGGAAGTTGACGGAGTCATCACGCACCGCAAGTATGGCAACAAGCCAATGCAGTACAAAGTCACATTCAAGCAATGTGCGCCTGACGACACTCGGTGGATCTCTAGTGCAGACTTGCAGACTTCTGCACCCCTGATCTTCGCCAACTATGAGAAGACACGACTTGCCAAGGGTGATGTGCCAAGTGGAGGGGATGGTTTGAGTGTGGGGGGTGTCCTGCTTGGGGAGGGGGGGGTGAGATGGCTGGGATGGATAGGGTACGATGGCACGAGGGAGATGGTTTGGTGGTGCATTCAAGGAGGGAGCGACGTGTGGGGGTGGTGGAGGGAGGGCGAGGGGGGGGGGAAGTGGTTGGTGTTGGTTTTGGTGTGGTAAGGAAGGTTGAGCGGCTGGTGGGGGGGTGGTAGTGGGTGGGCCTGATGGTAATGTGGGTCGGGTGTTCCTGGGGTACGTGCCCTTTGTTGGGGCTGTTGTCTCTCCTAGCGCGTGCCTGGCCCTCGGCCTCGTCCTCTCCCTCTTCCCCTTCTGCCTGGCGGCATTGACTCCTGAAAGCGTGGACACTCCGGGTCAAATTCGTCGTGGTACCACCACAGACACTTTTGACAAAACGGAGTGTCCTGGTTTGCAAATGGAATGTGCATCTCTTGCCCCGTCGGCCTTTTTAGGACCACCCATTCCATAAAACGTATTTTTGACCCTCGGATCGCAATCTAGCTTGACGTTCCCCAGACGGCATTCGTCCTCTCTTCTATCCGGCGGGTGCATTAAGGATGACGGGCCCCATTAGTTGCTCAACTGCGTTGCGTAGGGAGAACATGGCTCCCAACGGAACTCGGAGAGCTATGATGCGATATCTGGCTGTCGATTCGGAGTCCCGTRGTTGGTTCAATTCCTGTTAGGTCATCCAAGGGCGAAAGGTGATCTTGATTGGGCCTTGCCTCGATGGAATGGAGTCCTGGCCTTTGGCTATCATCCATTGCGCGATTCTCGTGGTTCTTGCCACGTAGGATAGAACATTTGGCCCCTCCCCATGAGTACGACCACGCTTTTGCGAAGGGTTGAAGTTGCTATCCTGCACCCAAGCGTCTTCATAGATTCTAATGAATTGTTCTCTTTGAGATACTGAGAGAYTGGCTKCTCTGGCRTCAAAAACGACTATAACGGTCCTTTCCTTGAGCCAAGCTACCGTGGTTGTATCTACTTCGTCACTTAAGTTAAGGTAGCCCACCCCGTCCACAATTTCAATATCTCCATGTGAGAAGGTGGTGTCAGGGAACAGACCATCGTCGTAGCAAGAATCGAGGAGGGTACGGATGCGAGGGAGGTCTTCGGGCATAGTAGGATCGTTTGGCTGTGTCCCTGGGGGACCAGCTTTTCCAGCRTGGGCCATGRTGCGCTGCTGTGGATCAGGTCAGCGGTCCAGTTTGGGCGAAGAGGAGATCGGGTTGGGGAAGGGGGGTGAGTGGGGGGGTGTGGGTGATAGGCAGAGAATGAAGATTGGCCAACGGATGTTGGGGTTAAGAGCGGTGGTGGCTGACTTGAAAGGTGGGAGAGGAGGTGTCTGGAAGTATGGAAGGGGAGAGGGATTGAGGGTGAGCTGTGCGGGAGTGTGTTTCCTGCGGGCTGRYGTTGTGCTCAAGAGAGTCGCACGTAAGGTCGAACCCTAATAGTTGTTGACGTCATCGGAGAGTTGAGTTGCATTTGACCGCATCGCAGGCAGGGCGCTCAGGCGCCTGTCCAATACCACATAGTACGTATTAAAGGTGATGATGTAATGCTGACTCACCAATCGACTCCATATCCCCCCGGTGCTAGAAAGCCTCRGGTTGACTTGCGATGGATGCCAAGCAGGATGGTTGACGACGGCCGCTTCGCCCGGCTGCGTGTCGGAGTGGCGGCTGGTGAGACCGGTAACACTACGGCTGAGCGCTCCGCGCCGGCCGAA